GGAAAAAATATTTATTTGGGTAAACAATATTTTGGGTAAAGAATAATAATAATAAAAAATAAAAATAAAAATTAATAATAATTAATAAATAATAAAAATGAAGAATAAAGATTAATTATAAAAGATAATTGTGAGGAATAAGAGTTATACCTATTGGATCAGGATGATGGGAGAGAGAGAAAAAAAAAGGGGTAAATTTAATAAAAAGGGTAAATTTAATTGGTTCTGTATGGACTAAAGATTATGTCTGGGTGGATAAAAAAGGTGATTATATTATAGTGTTAATTTCTAATTCCTCGTTGAGCCCACCTGGGGACAATCTGTCTAATATGAATATCCAATATGTTTCTTGTGAACAGAGTTTAATGAAGCGTTCAGACTCTGAAAGATTGTTGGGGATGGATTCTAAAACCCAAACTGTTAGGCCGCCAGTGGATTTTTGATGGTATTCTAGAAAATGCCGGGGAACACTGTGTTTGTCCTTACCATCTTCAATAAGCCGTCTGTGTTCTCCAAATCTGGCGCGGAGGGGTCTGATGGTACGTCCCACATATAGGAGGCCACAGGGGCAGGATAAGCAATAAATCACATGGTCCGTGGAGCAATTGTAAAATTCTTTTAATGTGCGCCTCACACATCATTTTTCACAGCCGCTACATCGATGACATCATCATTATTTGGTATGGCCCCATGACACACGTAGACCAGTTCGTTACCCATTGTAACTCCAATCCCTTTGGCCTTTCGTTCACCTCCACTCATGATAAACATACTCTTGAATTCCTTGACCTCGAACTATACCACAACGATCTTTTAATACATACAAAGAATCATTTCAAACCCGTATCTGGCAATTCATACCTCCACTCTAACAGTTGTCACCATCCCAATTGGATCCGCAATATACCCAAAGGACAATTCTGTCGTCTCAGACAAAACTGTACCATGGACTCAGATAACCTACAGAGTAATATTCTAACTAAAAAATTCCATGACAAAGGTTACCCACACAAGCTGGTAGATGATGCCCACTCCTTCTACAGAGAGGGTAGATTCCCAGCTCACAACACCACAGAGCCTACAAACCAGGTCAGATTCATAACTAAATTCCACAACCATTTTCACAAAATGGAGTCCATTATTAATAGGCATTGGCCAATACTTCTACAGGACCCCTATTTAATAGACGTCTTAGACAAAAAACCCAAATACACCTACCGTAGGGCCACCAACCTCAAAAACAGGATTGCCCCCAGCAAATATAACCCACCCACACACCCAACACATTGTGCCTCGTACCTATTGTAGGCATGTATAGGTGCAATAAAGCTCTATGCAAAACCTGTCAATTTATACAACATGGCCAGAAAACCTTCACCACAAAAGGAAAAACCTACACATTAAAAGAATTTTACAATTGCTCCACGGACCATGTGATTTATTGCTTATCCTGCCCCTGTGGCCTCCTATATGTGGGACGTACCATCAGACCCCTCCGCGCCAGATTTGGAGAACACAGACGGCTTATTGAAGATGGTAAGGACAAACACAGTGTTCCCCGGCATTTTCTAGAATACCATCAAAAATCCACTGACGGCCTAACAGTTTGGGTTTTAGAATCCATCCCCAACAATCTTTCAGAGTCTGAATGCTTCATTAAACTCTGTTCACAAGAAACATATTGGATATTCATATTAGACAGATTGTCCCCAGGTGGGCTCAACGAGGAATTAGAAAATTAACACTATAATATAATCACCTTTTTTATCCACCCAGACATAAACTTTAGCCCGTACAGAACCAATTAAATTTTATCCTTTTTATTAAATTTACCCCTTTTTTTTCTCTCTCTCTCCCATCATCCTGATCCAATAGGTGTAACTCTTATTCCTCACAATTATTTTTTTATAATTAAATCTTATTCTTTATTATTATTTTTTATTTTTTATTATTATTCTTTACCCAAAATATTGTTTACCCAAATAAATATTTTTTCCCCAAATATATAAAAACATTTTTTCACCATTATTCATTTTTCATCCTTAATTTTGATTTCAATTTACAAAAAACATTACATTTTTCAACCACCCCTGTATAATTATAATAATAACTTTTTTTTTTTTCAAAATCTTCTATTTTTCATCCAAAATCTATTTTTCATCAAAATCTTTTTATTTTATTTTCACCCATAACTTAAACTTTTTTCATCCATTTTGAATTTAATTATTTTTTTTTTCTCTCTCATCTTTATTCATTTTTTCATATTTTTCATTTTTTCATCATTTTTTTCATTTTCTCTTTCTTTTCTTTCCTTTCTTTTTTCCCATCCCTCATTTTTTCATTTTGGGCAGTGGCAAATCACACTTTTTTCGTTTTTTCTTTTCTCTTTTTCTTTTCTTTCTCTTTCTTTTCATATGGCCTCCATCTATGTATGCTTCCCCATTAATGGCAAACCATTTTCTACATGTTTTTATTTATTTATTTACACACGCTTCCCCATTGATATATTGTCTCCATTTGTACAATTGTTTAATTGCTTTATTGGCCCCTGCTCCATATATAATCAATTCTGCATCTCCACCTCCCCCTGCTTGGAAAAGGAGCGCACTTCCGCCTTCCACGGCCAGTGCATACTCCGAAACGCGTTGCAGTGCATCCTGGGTGTCTGATGTCATCACGGCCACGCCGCCGCTGCGCTTCAGCGTGTGTTCCACCAAGCTCGGAGGGAGGACGTGCACGCTGACCAGTGATAAGCTGACCGCTACACACTGCAGTAGATGACGACTTCTCACCCTGACGATTACCCTACTCATCCACCACGGTTTTTTATGCCTATATTCAATTTATTTATGTGAGTTATCCTACATTTAACCTTCAATAAAGAGCCATATTGCACTTAGAGGCGCTTCTCTTCTTCTCTCATACACCCCATATATCCTGTGCACCCCCGTACATCCAGTACACCCCATACACCCTGTACATGCCTGTACATCCCATACGCCCCGTACATTCCATACATCCCATACACTCCATACATCTCTTTCATCCCCTACATCCAGTACATCCCGTACATGCCCGTACATCCCATACACCCCGTACATCCCATACACCCCGTACATCCCATACACCCCGTACATCCCATACACCCTGTACACTCCATACATCCAGTACATCCCATACATCCCGTACATCCAATACACCCTGTACACTCCATACATCCAGTACATCCAGTACACCCTATACATCCTGTCAAGTACCGGGAGCGCAGAGAGAGCACACGGAGACAGATTGTACAGAACCCGACGTGCGGGCATTTATTGAGGAGGTTTTTTTTGGGTACAGACAATAGATTCGTTAGTCCACAGATCCACACCAAACGCAGAAACACAGTAAAGTTCTCTGGAAGACAATACGAGACAACAGGGGGCTGATAGTCCACCGGGTTCAGTAGGACAGGGGAATGGAGGTTTCATGAGAATTTGGGTTCCTGGGGAGAATTGGGCTCAGTCTTTCGGGCAGCACGGGGTTAGTCCACTTACTAGATGCGGGGAGCCGGAGACGAAGGGTTACAGTCCACACAGGCAACACAGGGTCAATCCCCACAGGCAGCTACAGACAGCAAAGGGTTAAGTCCGCCAGGCTCATGGGCAAAAAAGGGCTAAGTCCGCACAGAGGAGAGATCCAGGCAGCGGGCTCATGGGAAACAAAGGGTTAAGTCCTCCAGGGAAGAGATCCAGCAGGAGGTTCACGGGGGAACAAAGGGTTAAGTCCTCCAGGGGAGAGATCCAGCAGCAGGCTCACGAGGGCAGCAGAATGTTCCTCCACAGTGAGACAGCGGAGAGTTAACCCCACACAGCGGAGGGATCCAGCAGCAGAATGGCAGGCAGTGGAGCCAGTGAGAGGAGGGCAGGGGGATGGAAGCACGGAGGAGGCTGGCACGGACCTCACTCACACACGGCAGGCAGGAGAACACCCGGGACCGGTGTCCTGCTCTGCCTTAAGTACAGAGCCGGGTATGTTTCCGTGGTAACCCAAAACATTGCGTTGGGTTACCATGGCAACGGGCCCCACCCCCGCGTCTCCAGACGCGCACAGGGAACGTGGCTTTAGTCCCTGTTGAGCACAGAGCACGGGAAGATGTGCACAAGGGGACAGGGAGGGGGGTGGTGACAGAAGGGAGCCTGCCTGTGGATTCCCACAGCAGAGGGGCCGACTTTCTGGCACCCAGCCAGGGAAGCAGGATGCTCCCTCGGCAGGGGGCCAGATTGAAGGCGACAGGGAGGTGAGGGGCCGCTGGGAGCTGCCTGTGTCAGGGACAAGGAGGACTAAAAGTCCCAACATGGACGGGACAGAAGAGTGAGGGGCTGCTGAGGGCTGGGGGTGACAGGCAGCAAACCTGGAGGATGTGGGGGTGAAAGACCAGCTCCGTGACACATCCCCTAAATCCAGTATACCCCGTATATCCCCTACATCCAGTACACCTCGTACATCCCTACACCCCGTACATGCCCTACATCCAGTACACCCCTTAAATCCCCTACATCCTGTACATCCCTATATCCAGTACACCCTATATATCCTCTACATCCTGTACACCCCATACATCCCTACATCCCGTACATCCAGTACACCTCGTACATCCCCTATATCCCTGTACACCCCATACATCCCGTACACCCTGTACATTCACTACACCCTGTACATCCAGTACACCCCGTACACACCGTACATTCCATAATCCAGTACATCCTGTACACACCGTACACCCCATACCATCCCGTACGGCCAAGCAGATATTTTTGACAGGTCTGCAGGAGACCTGCATGATATCAGAGATCTACTGATCGCTGGTGCAATTTATTAGGCTCCTTTGGACAATAATAAATGCACTGATGGGCACTGATAGGCAGCACTGATAGGCGGCACTAATGAAGTGTCACGGATAGGCGGCACTGATAGGCTACACTGATGATGGGTACTGATAGACAGCTTTGATAGGTGGCACTGACTGGCATCACTGCTGGGCACTGACTGGCGGCACTGCTGGGCACTGACTGGCACAACCGCTGGGCACTGACTGGTGCCACTGACTGGCAGCACTGCTGGGCTGCACTGATGGGCACTGGTGGGCACAGGTGGGTGGCACTGCTGGGCACAGGTAGGTGGCACTTCTGGGCACACTTGTGTGACACTGCTGGGTGGCACAGGTGGGTGCACTGCTGGGCACAGGTGGGCGGAGTTAGTGGGCGCACTGCTGGGCACAGGTGGGCGGAACTTGTGGGTGGCACTGCTAGGCACCGATCATTAGGGCACTGATCATCAGTGCCCTGATGATCGGTGCCAATCCCTGCTCTAACAACTGCCGTTTCTCGGCAATACTTTCCTCACGATCCGACAGCGTGAGGAAAGTGCAGCCGAGAAACCGGCAATTGCATTTCCCGGTGATCAGCGTGTCATTGGACACGGCTGATCACGTGGTAAAAGGCTGCTGTGATTGGCCTTTTACCACATCACGTGATCAGCTGTGTCTGTAGGACACAGCGATCACGGAGATCACCGGGTGCGCGCCCCTGAGCGCGTTCTGGGAGGACGTCATATGACGCCCACCCAGAACTGGCTGCCCGCAGTGCAGCCGTCATTCAGCTATCTGCAGTTGGCAAGTAGTTTGATTAATTTAAATTATATTGAGGTTACTGTAGAGGATGGGTGTGTTTTTTTTTGTATTGTGGTTGGTTGGCATGGTGAAAGATGGGAATTCCTGAATAACGTGGCTTTTAGCAACACAACTTTTCAGCTTCCAGCATCATCTCCCTTTGAAGCTTATGGTATTCAAACATACAGAGTATAGAAGAGGCGGCATAGGGTACTTACTGGGAATATGTGGGGAGGAGACTGAGGGTACACATTGAACTTTGAATGGCAGTAGAGGAAGCCCCTGACAGCACCCCTTCCACTGGAGTACTGCTTGTACTTTCTCAACTACTGTTTTAACCTGAGTAAAAAAATATTTCCATTATATTCCCAGATATTCATGAAAAGCACAAACAACATCTGATGAAGAAGACTGAAACTCTAGTGGAGCATAAACCCCAGGAACTACCCTGGGAACCACAAAGATTCCTCTTCAATGAGCGTTATGTGAAGCTGATTGTAGCCTCCACTGATCAGTTCCGGCAGCGTCCCCAGAATGAGATAATACAGACCGGGGTTTAAAACATGAGGAATGCTTGAAGGAAACACAAACTAGACTGGAACATATTTCCCCCAACAAGCTGTTCCGACGGAACCTCCAGTCACAATGTGTACCCACATGCAGTAATGGTGAGTGGAGTGCCAGGAATAGGGAAGACCACACTGATGCAGAAGTTTGTCTATGACTGGGCGACCGGAAAACACTACCAGAGATTTGCCTTTGTCTTCTTCTTCAGATTCTGGGACCTTAATAGACTGGGAGAGGTCAGCTTGGAGGAGATGAATTCTTCAACAATATCCGTATCTGAAGAGTCAGATTGGAGATATTTTACAAGATCCAGAGAAAACTTCTGTTTATATTTGATGGCTTGGATGAAAGTATTCACCAAATAGATTTCAGATCAAGTAGACTCTTTGCTTACAGGACGAATTTTGGTGAGATTGTGGTCAGTTTGGTGAGGCAGAGTCTTCTTAAGGGTTGCTCTGTACTGATGACCAGCCGCCCAACCAGACTGGCATCGCTTGATACCGGTGTTTTCCAGAGAATAGCGGAGATCATGGGATTTCTCCATGAAGACAGACGGATCTTCTTCAATAATTTCTTTGGAAATGAGGAATGGTCAGAGAAGGCTTTTCATTATGTGCAGGAGAATGACACGCTGTACACTTTCTGTTATATCCCAGCATACTGCTGGATCATCTGTACAGTGTTATCAATGTGCTTCAGAGCCCAACCAACAATTACCGATCAGCTGATGACATCATTACCCAAAAACAGTGACACAACTCTTTGTGACTTTTGTCTCCAACATTCTGGCCAATCACAGCCAGAATACAGAATGGCGGTCACACTTCCTGGGACCTGCTGATATCTATGGGGTGGATGGCAGAACATGGCGTCATGAATCACATGATCGTATTTGATGAGCGTCATCTGGAGTCATTCAGTGTGAGAAATGATAAACATCTCTTTTCATCTTTCCTGATGGAATCTGGTCAGCCCCCTGATGTGGATTACACCTTCTTACATCTCACTCTTCAGGAGTTTTTTGCTGCTTTTGTCCATTTTAGTGACTATAATGCTGACAGATTACAAGAAACACTTGATAAGGCTGAATATTACAAAGATGGCCGTGCTGAAATATTCCTCCGTTTTCCTCTGCGGTTTTCTCAGACTCTTCTACTAGATCCATGTTAAAGTCTCATGGTGGGAGGATTGTCTGCTCAGGCTGCCAAACACGTCATCACCTGGATCCAGAAGAAAATAGCAGAACAAAGACCTAACAAATCCATAAGAGGCAACAGAGATCTTCTTAATGTATTCTACTATCTCCATGAGAGCAGGAATAAGGCTCTGGTGTCACAATGTATTGGATCAAACAACATTGACTTTTCCAAATGTCCCCCTCAGCCCTCTGGACTGCTCTGTGCTGTCCTTTATCCTTTCAATCCTGCAGAGAGACAGAAGTAAATCTAAGTTCCTGTAATATTCAGAGTGAAGGATTGAGAAAACTTGTACCAGCTCTACACAACATCAAGAGTTTGAGGTAAATATTAACTATGAATAATAAAATGTTCAGAAACTTCTCCAGAGAAATTATTATTATTATATTGGATTTATATAGTGCCCACAGTTTATGCAGGGCTTTATAACATAAGGGCAGATAGCACAATTACAATACATTTTAATTCCTGAGGGATCAGAGGGCCCGGCTTGTTAGAGCTTACAATCCTAAGAGGGCGGGTCGAGAGATACAAGAGGTAATAACTGTGGTTGATGGGCTAATGGACAAAATACATGTATAGTTGTTAGGTGGGGGCAGGATAGGCCTCTCTGAAAAGATGAGTTTTCAGGATCATCTGAAAGTGGACAGAGTAGAAGATAGTCAGCACTGGAGTTTTAGAGGATGGGAGCAGCTCTGGAGAAGTTACAAATTGTTGGTGCTTCTTGTCGTCTGTTATATGTGGACTCTATAGGTATCTGTGTGAATGTATTAGATTGTTGCATCAAATGTACAGATGAGTAGAGGCAGCAGAATCTGATCTATGGGATGTCTGTGTTAGACAAGTAGCAGTGACACCATTGGTCGTGTCTGTGGGGTATCTGCTCTGACCTTAAAGAGTTCCATGAATTTTCAATGTTATATGTGACCACAGCAGGAAATTCCCAATCCATTTATTGATAAGATCACTGAATAATCAGCGAAGAAAATGGTTCATTGAAATGCTGGTTTCAAACATAGTTATAGAGTGATTGCGGATATAATTTTAATACTTTCATTGCCATCTTTGCATTTTTTACACACATGTAAACAATTGTTGGCCTGAAGATTAGTTAGACCCCCCCCCCCCCCCCCCCCCCCCCCCCCCCCCCCCCCCCCCCCCACCCCCCCCCCCCCCAAATGATATATTTTCTGAAAGTAGATACCCTGGAGAATAAAGTGCAAATTATCAGTAAAAAATACTCGAAATATGAGGTTATGTTACATCAATAGATACCCAACATGTCAAGCTTTTAGAATTGTGTACACCCACAAAATGAAGATGAACTTTGGTACACTATACTTTCCATAGGAGACACTTTATAAGCCCTGACAGGTCATCACTTTAGAGTCAAATGTGAATAGTGGCCATAGAATCATTGCTCTATTCTGGTTGTGTGTGGTGATATGTAACACATAATGTAATCTATGTTTTTCTATGTAGGCTCCCCAATAGGTGTGCTTACATCTGTGTGTACATGGGGGGCAGTGAGGGGTCAAAATTTTGGGGTTTTTTAAGTGCTTGGTGCTATTTCTTTCTTCCTTTTTTTGCACTAAAACTTTATATCACTTTTGTCTTCTGTGTGATACTCTGTGACAGGTTCTCCTTGATTAAAACATCAGAGGTCTATCAGACCCCTGATGCCTCACCTGCCCTTGATTGACGCTAATGGAGTGCAGATCAGTAGAAACTGGAAGGGACATTATATGCATCGCTTACAAGTACTTAACAGCCAGCAAATGGATGTCTCCCTCCTTTCCTTGTCCCATGCCCTCAGATAGGACAACAGACCCTGGGAAACATGGTACATACAGGGCCACAGTTCTGGGGGGGGTCAAAAAAGCAAGCTGTACAGCTGCCTGATCACTTTTATTGGAAAATTGGTTTGTAGAGTAAGCACAATATACAGGGATTATGAGTTTTAACACGCCACATACACACACTCACACGGATTGAAGTGGATGGACTGGTGTCTTTATTCTACCTTACCAACTACACTATATTGCCAAACGTATTGGGCCACCGGCCTTTCCACGCACATGAACCTTAATGGCATCCCAGCCTTTCTCCGTAGGGTTCAATATTGAGTTGGCCCGCCCTTTGCAGCTATAACAGCTTCAACTCTTCTGGGATTGGCCGTCCACAAGGTTTAGGAAGGTGTCTATGGGAAGGTTTGACCATTTTTCCAGAAGCACATTTGTGAGGTCAGGCGCTGATGTCGGAGGAGGAGGCCTGTCTCACAGTCTCTGCTCTAATTCATCCCAAAGGTGTTCTATGGGGTTGAGGTCAGGACTCTGTTCAGGACAGTCAGGTTCCTCCACCCCAAACGCACTCTTCCATGTCTTTATGGACCTTGCTTTTTGCACTGGTGCAGTCATGTTGGAACAGGAAGGGGCCATCCCCAAACTCTTCCCACAAAGTTGGGAGCATGAAATTGTCCAAAATGTCTTGGCATGCTGATGCTTTAAGAGTTCCCTTCACTGGAACTAGGGGTACAGGAGAGGATTCTGAGTGAGTACTCCTGCACCCCCTGGACAGATAGTGGAAGGAGCACTCTGGTGGGACACCAGATTTTTCCACCTGCCAGTGACTGTCTTAAAGTGACAGGAACCGGATCCCCTGTTCAAGGATATCTCCAGATTGCTGGGTGAAGAAGAGGAATTCATCTAGGGTCTGGGGTGATACATTGGGAGATGCTGGCTAGAGAGAGTGTTGCAGAGAAGGCTTGTAAATAGTTCCAGGAAGTTGTCCTTAGTCCATCTGTTCCCTTGGGCATCCTGTACACCCCTAACCTTGTCCCAGTTCAAATCCCCTAACTAAAAATAACAGAACCAAAGCTAAGGTACTGATTTTCTAACTCTGGATGCAAGTCTATGTAAAGATGTGCGTTGCTTGGCTGTCCAGGGCTATAAGGCCCAAAATCTCTAGTGACTCCTAAGGGGGTAGTGCTACACTAGGACAATTTATTTGGAAACCAATTAACCTACCAGCATAAATATACCCCAAGGTTTCAGTGTTGGGACCCTTACTTTTTAATATATCACTGACAACCCTAGACCATTACTACACATCTACTATTCAGTGTCAGGAGATCCCCCATTACTACACATCTAGTATTCAGTGTCAGGGATCCCATTACTACACACCTACTATTCAGTGTCAGGAGATCCCCCATTACTACACACATCTACTATTCAGTGTCAGGAGATCCCCCATTACTACACATCTACTATTCAGTGTCAGGAGATCCCCCCATTACTACACATCCTACTATTCAGTGTCAGGAGATCTCCCCATTACTACACATTTACTATTCAGTGTCAGGGATCCCCCATTACTACACATCTACTATTCGGTGTCAGGAGATCCCCATTACTACACATCTAGTATTCAGTATCAGGGATCCCATTACTACACACCCTACTATTCAGTGTCAGGGATTCCCCATTACTACACATCTACTATTCAGTGTCAGGGGATCCCCCATTGCTACACATCCACTATTCAGAGTCAGGGATCCCTCCATTACTACACATCTACTATTCAGTGTCAGGGACCCCCCATTATTACACATCTACTATTCAGTGTCAGGGGATCCCCCATTATTACACATCTACTATTCAGTGTCAGGGATCCCTCCATTACTACACATCTACTATTCAGTGTCAGGGATCCCCCCATTACTACACATCTACTATTCAGTATCAGGAGATCCCCCATTACTACACATCTACTATTCAGTATCAGGAGATCCCCATTACTCACACATCTACTATTCAGTGTCAGGGATCTCACATTACTACACATCTACTATTCAGTGTCAGGGGATCCCTCCATTACTACACATCTACTATTCAGGATCAGGGGATCCCCCTCATTACTACACATCTACTATTCAGTATCAGGAGATCCCCCATTACTACACATCTACTATTCAGTGTCAGGGGATCCCCCCATTACTACACATCTACTATTCAGTGTCAGGGAATCCCCCATTACTACACATCTACTATTCAGTATCAGGAGATCCCCCATTACTACAAATCTACTATTCAGTGTCAGGGATCTCACATTACTAAACATCTACTATTCAGTGTCAGGGGATCCCCCATTACTACACATCTACTATTCAGTATCAGGAGATCCCCCCCATTACTACACATCTACCATTCAGTGTCAGGGGATCCCCCATTACTACACATCCATCTACTATTCAGTGTCGGGGATCCCCCATTACTACAAATCTACTATTCAGTGTCAGGAGATCCCCCATTACTACACATCTAGTATTCAGTGTCAGGGATCCCATTACTACACACCTACTATTCAGTGTCAGGATCCCATTACTACACATCTACTGTTCAGTGTCAGGGATCCCCCATTACTACACATCTACCATTCAGTGTCAGGAGATCCCCCATTACTAACACATCTACTATTCAGTGTCAGGGGATCCCCCATTGCTACACAATCCACTATTCAGTGTCAGGGGATCCCTCCATTACTACACATCTACTATTCAGTGTCAGGGACCCCCCATTATTACACATCTACTATTCAGTGTCAGGGGATCCCCCATTACTACACATCTACTATTCAGTATCAGGAAATCCCCCATTACTACACATCTACTGTTCAGTGTCTGAGATCCCCCATTACTACACATCTACTGTTCAGTGTCTGAGATCCCCCATTACTACACATCTACTATTCAGTGTCAGGAGATCCACCATTACTACACATCTACTATTCAGTGTCAGGGGATCCCTCCATTACTACACATCTACTATTCAGTGTCAGGGGATCCCTCCATTACTACACATCTACTATTCAGTGTCAGGGATCCTTCATTACTACACATCTACTATTCAGTATCAGGAGATCCCCCATTACTACAAATCTACTATTCAGTGTCAGGGATCTCACATTACTACACATCTACTATTCAGTGTCAGGAGATCCCCCATTACTACACATCTAGTATTCAGTGTCAGGGATCCCATTACTACACACCTACTATTCAGTGTCAGGGATCCCATTACTACACATCTACTATTCAGCGTCAGGGATCCCCCATTACTACACATCTACCATTCAGTGTCAGGAGATCCCCCATTACTACACATTTACTATTCAGTGTCAGGGGAATCCCCCATTACTACACATCTACTATTCAGTGTCAGGAGATCCCCCATTACTACACATCTAGTATTCAGTATCAGGGATCCCATTACTACACACCTACTATTCAGTGTCAGGGATTCCCCATTACTACACATCTACTATTCAGTGTCAGGGGATCCCCCATTGCTACACATCCACTATTCAGAGTCAGGGGATCCCTCCATTACTACACATCTACTATTCAGTGTCAGGGACCCCCCATTATTACACATCTACTATTCAGTGTCAGGGGATCCCCCATTATTACACATCTACTATTCAGTGTCAGGGGATCCCTCCATTACTACACATCTACTATTCAGTGTCAGGGATCCCCCATTACTACACATCTACTATTCAGTATCAGGAGATCCCCCATTACTACACATCTACTTTCAGTATCAGGATATCCCCCATTACTACAAATTCTACTATTCAGTGTCAGGGATCTCACATTACTACACATCTACTATTCAGTGTCAGGGATCCCTCCATTACTACACATCTACTATTCAGGATCAGGGGATCCCCTCATTACTACACATCTACTATTCAGTATCAGGAGATCCCCCGATTACTACACAATCTACTATTCAGTATCAGGAAATCCCCCATTACTACACATCTACTGTTCAGTGTCTGAGATCCCCCATTACTACACATCTACTGTTCAGTGTCTGAGATCCCCATTACTACACATCTACTATTCAGTGTCAGGGGATCCCTCCATTACTACACATCTACTATTCAGTGTGAGGGGATCCCTCCATTACTACACATCTACTATTCAGTGTCAGGGATCCTTCATACTACACATCTACTATTCAGTATCAGGAGATCCCCCATTACTACAAATCTACTATTCAGTGTCAGGGATCTCACATTACTAACATCTACTATTCAGTGTCAGGGAGATCCCCCATTACTACACATCTAGTATTCAGTGTCAGGGATCCCATTACTACACACCTACTATTCAGTGTCAGGGATCCATTTACTACACATCTACTATTCAGTGTCAGGATCCCCCATTACTACACATCTACCATTCAGTGTCAGGAGATCCCCCATTACTACACATCTACTATTCAGTGTCAGGAGATCCCCCATTACTACACATCTAGTATTCCCAGTGTCAGGGATCCCATTACTACACATCTACTATTCAGTATCAGGAGATCCCCCATTACTACACAATCTACTATTCAGTGTCAGGGGATCCCCCCATTACTACACATCTACTCTTCAGTGTCAGGGGATCCCCCATTACTACACATCTACTCTTCAGTGTCAGGGAATCCCCCATTACTACACATCTACTATTCAGTGTCAGGGATCCTTCATTACTACACATCTACTATTCAGTATCAGGAGATCCCCCATTACTACAAATCTACTATTCAGTGTCAGGGATCTCACATTACTACACATCTACTATTCAGTGTCAGGGGATCCCCCATTACTACACATCTACTATTCAGTGTCAGGGATCCTTCATTACTACACATCTACTATTCAGTATCAGGAGATCCCCCATTACTACACATCTACTATTCAGTGTCAGGGGATCCCCCATTACTACACATCTACTATTCAGTGTCAGGGGATCCCCCCATTATTGCACATCTACTATTCAGTGTCTAGATAGGGGATCCCCCATTACTACACATCTAATATTCAGTGTCAGGGGATCCCCCATTACTACACATCTACTATTCAGTGTCAGGGGATCTCCCCATTATTACACATCTACTATTCAGTGCCAGGGATCCCCCATTTCTACACATCTACTATTCAGTGTCAGGGATCCCCCATTACTTCCAACGAGTACAGAGCTCTGATCAGCAGAGAGAAATAGAATATCAGATACAATCCTCCCGTCCAATCACTAGCAATGCTGATTCCGGCCTCACACTGTCTGCTGATCCCATTCATGCTCCATACACAAGGAGATGATAGCACAATACGAGTCATGTCAGTGGTATTCTGTGCTCATCCTGTGTATGGAGATATCACCGTCTCTACACATGGAGGACAATATTGGGGGGTCTACTCCATTATAACATTTGTCTTATAAAATTCTATTTCCTGGAGATTTATAAAGTGATCGAATATAAATGATTCCAACAAAGAGAAATGAGTTCCATCCATGCAGAGAATAGTTCCATTCATTTCCTGGGGGGGGGGGGGATTAATTTCTTCAGGTAACATTGTTTTCTTCTTCTACAGATTGGGATGATAATCACCTGACAGATAGTTCCTGCCCCCACTGGCATCTGGAATAAGAGATAACCCGACACTGAGGACACTGAACCTGTCATATAACAATCTGGAGGGTCCTCATTTCAGGGATCTGATGGCGGCTCTGACAACAAGCCGGATAGAGGAATTACAGTGAGTATAACAGGACAGTTCTGGTGGAGCCTTACGTGCTGATGTCATGCCGCCGCGGCCGGAGCTCGGAGCGGCAGCCATCTTTGTATGTGCTTTATACACAAATTAATTGTTTTATCCATGTGGATTGTATTTTAAGCTTTTATTAAATACTTGGTAAATTGTGGTTGCTGCGCTATTAAACTTTATGTGAACCCCAATACGTGATAGTCAGTGAATGGGTAAACAAAATGCCCCTTATAAATCAATTAAATCAAAATATGACATATACCCCAATATATACCTCTACACCTCCTCTACTAAGTGAGTACATAAACATAATATTCCACACATACATACACAATAATTATACACATATATGCCGAATGAACTCCTGAACGGGCAACACCAGTGAATAAATAAAGTGACATAAACGCATGTAAACTTTACATGCCCTGGATAAGCAGGTTGAAAGAAATAATAGTGATCCAACTAGGGGATAAAAATCAAAGTGAATCAGTGACATCACTACCTTGTGGTAAACATAAGAAAAACAAAAAAAGAGGAATCAAAAAGGTAAACGCATGTATATGCTCAAAATGATTTGTGAATGTAAAACAAATGCCGGTGATCCCACTTATGGGATAAATACAGTGGATCCGTGAAACCACAAATGGTGGTAATTGTGAAAGAAAGAGAAAATCAGGCTCACCGCCTGTCAATCATCAACAATCACTTAAATAAACGATAGTGACCCCCTACTGGGGATAAGTGACACCAAAAAAAATAGGCTAAATGCCTATAGATACTGACGTGATTCGTAACCGTAAATGGGGGTTCTGAATAAGCGTGAAAATAAGTGACTTCAAACAGCGCTTCACACTTTCCGTATATCCACAAACATAAATCAACAGTGGATAGTCCAGCTACCAACATAAACCAAAAACTTAAAAAAATTAAACGTGTCGTAAAAAGTGAAAAAATAAAAAAAATAAATAAATGTCCAATCTAAAAAAGTGTCCAGAACCATCCAAATGGTGGAGGTGTACTGTAGTCCTATGATCACCAAACTGTGCAACAGGATACTATGAACCCCACTCTAGGTGCAATGGCTCCTCACCTCCATGCGGTGACTCTGCAGGGTCAAAACGCCTTAGACAATCAAATACCACCGGTCTGGAACCCGGACTCACTCCAACGGATGTCAGGTCCTTCGCCGTGTCAGTTCCCTCTCTGATGGCCAAGGTCCCGCATACAGCCTCCTCTCAGTGGTCCTAGAAGTGATAGCTCCTCATTCCCCAGAAAGAGAATGCAAAGTGCTCCCATAGTGTATGAACGTTTAATGACTCAAAATGGATAAAAATTTATCAAATTCCACTCACATTTAACTTGAAATTATAAGCTTTTAGTACCTATCCACATGCTGTGGGTGTACTAGTACATTGACCTCAATAGGAGTTCCAAGATGGCGTCTGCCCCCGCCCCGAAGTTGAGTCAGCATGCCGGGAGTTGTGTCACCACGAGCCCGCGCGTTACATCACGATGTCATCACGATGTCACGTGACTTCATCAGAGTACCCTGTCAATGTATTAGTACACCCACAGTATGTGGATGGGTACTAAAAGCTTATAATTTCAAGTTAAATGTGAGTGGAATTTGATACGTTTTTATCCATTTTGAGTCATTAAAAAACGTTCATACACTATGGGAGCACTTTGCATTCTCTTTCTGGGGGAATGAGGAGCTATCACTTCTAATTTTTATGTAGTTTTTGGTTTTTTGTTTATGTTGGTGGGTGGACGATCCACTGTTGATTTATGTTTGTGGATATACGGAAAGTGTGAAGCTCTCTTTGAAGTCAATTATTTTCATGCTTATTCAGAACCCCCATTTAGGGTCACGAATCACGTCCATATCTATAGGCACTTAGCCTATTTTTTGGTGTCACTTATCCCCAGTAGGGGGTCACTATCGTTTATTTAAGTGATTGTTGATGATTGACAGGCGGTGAGCCTGATTTTCTCTTTCTTTCACAATTACCACCATTTGTAGTTTCACAGATCCACTGTATTTATCCCATAGTGGGATCACTGGCATTGTTTACATTCACAAATCATTTTGAGCATATACATGCGTTTTACCTTTTTGATTCTTTTTTTTTTTTTCTTATGTTTACCACAAGGAGTGGTGTCACTGATTCACTTTATATATGTGTATAATTATTGTGTATGTATGTGTGGAATATTGTTTATGTACTCACTCAGTAGAGTAGGTGTAGATGTATATATTGGGGTATAGGTCATATTTTGATTTAATTGATTTATAAGGGGATATTGTTTACCCGTTCACTATCGCGTATCGGGGTTCACATATAGTTTATTAGCGCAGCACCACAATATTCAATTTGGGTTAACCATTTTTATTGGTGTATGGGTAGGTGTTAGCAGCTTTAGCCACATGTTCACCTAAGTGCAGGAGGACTTTGAATATTGTTTTAATAAATACTACAGTATATTCCGAACCTTGGGCTCCTGTGGTGAGTATTTCCCCCTAGGACGATTCCCTTGTCGATTTTCTAAAGTCTACTTTCTGGAGAAGTTTGGTCTGCATATATGGCTCTCTGTGATCTTCTATGGAATCAGCACAAATGCTCCTATACCAGTAGTGTTCTGGTGAGTGCATATCCATAAGATGTGGTGGATTCCCACATTGCATTATGAGCATCTTTTGAATATCTCACCTGGTATTGCTAAACTTGTAGTACCACGGATTCCTTCACTGGATGATGAGCACTATTATATTTATCACATTGGTATTGCTGAGACTTGTAGTACCACATATATTTTATTTATTTTTTTTTTTATTTAATATTTGAATGGTTACATGTGCAATACATTCAGATTATGTCACATGGTCTAATAACATCAGGTGTTCACATTTTTCACTATAACACTTTATGACAGAATTTAATATTTAGCTCTGCACTTCCACTTATATTAGTTCTTGTGGGATTTTGTCCCATTTTGTGCTAGCAGCTCCTAATACTCAGCGCTTGCCAGATATCCTGCATTCCATATATATAGATGACATTAAAGATATTCATATACAGTACATGGGAATCTGATCATAATGCAAGTGATCAGAGCATCATACAAATATTTTTCTTCTGGCGTGGCCAACTGCTTTCAGTTCCGGAAGATCTCCCCATTACTGAACATTTGTTACCTAGCGCCATGACTTCCTATGAATACAGAGCTCTGATCAGCAGAGATAAATAGAATATCAGATACAATCCTCCCATCCAATCACTAGCAATGCTGATTCCGGCCTCACACTGTCTGCTGATCCCATTCATGCTCCATACACAAGGAGATGATAACACAATACGAGTCATGTCAGTGGTATTCTGTGCTCATCCTGTGTATGGAGATATCACCGTCTCTACACATGGAGGACAATATTGGGGGGTCTACTCCATTATAACATTTGTCTTAGAAAATTCTATTTCCTGGAGATTTATAAAGTGATCGAATATATTCCAATAAAGAGAAATTTAGTTCCATTCATGCAGAGAATAGTTCCATTCATTCCTGGGGGGGGGGGGGGGGATTCATTTTCTTCTGGTAACATTCTTCTCTTCTTCTACAGATTGTCCTCTAATCACCTGACAGACAGTTCCTGCCCCCACCTGGCATCTGGAATAAGAAATAACCCGACACTGAGGACACTGAACCTGTCTGTGAACAATCTGAAGGGTCCTCATTTCAGAGATCTGATGGCGGCTCTGACAACAAGCCGGATAGAGGAATTACAGTGAGTATAACAGGACTGACTGAGACAATCATATTCTGGGACAGATTAACATTCAATTGTCTAAATCTTCGGATCTTCTCTAACTCTGCTATCAGCAATAAATTAGACTTTTTCTACAGCTGGCCATAAGTGGATCAAATATGGACAGGTTTAGTAAGGACCAGCTGAGATCTGACCCATCTATGGGCAGGCTGGTTGTACTGAAGTTGATCCGTCAATCACATTCAGTACAACCATCCTCTGGGACTTTTTGCATTCGATCACTGCTGGAGGTCTATAGCAGCTAACAGTGATCAGTGTTCTGCTGGCAGGGAAGGCTTCCTGTTGGCAGAACACAGTTGTGCGGCAGGAGTGAGTGATTCCCCCATCCATTCTGACTGTGTTGATGGGGGGATTGAGCAATTGTCTTTCTTTTCACCCGTAGTGGAAGGAAAGAATATTGTATAGTCTGTAGCTTACTTAAAGCTCCCCACACACAGTACAGTCTGATCTTACAATCTTCTTTACCTCCATTGCCTAATTGGATACAAACTGACTGGATACATTGGGTAGGTCCTCATATGATATAAAGTTGTACAAACAGCATAATATCAGATGGTAACATGGTGACCCTATAGACTATAAAATGTAACCATTAAAGTGTTACTAAACCCACAACAGTACAATCAGTCTGTAGATGCAGTAAAGCATGCTTGTTATACTCACTGTGGAACCTAAGGGGTTAATCCTCTGTATTGTGTAAAAAGACCGATTGATCTTTCTGCTTCGTTCCTCCTTTTTTTCAAGCGATCACCTCTTATCTTCTGATAAGACAGACTTAACCGTAGGCATTTTGCACATGCTCAGTTTAGTCTGTATTGCTAGAGAGGTTTTTTTTCCCTTAGGAGGGTGCATGTTGTTCTGTTAGTCGATCCTGCTCAGATGCTCACACACTGTAGTTTGTAGCCGCCATTTTATTAGGTGCTCATAGCTGCCATTATACATGTGTATATCCTAAGAACTACAACCAAAGAGAGGCAATAACACAGTTGTACCAGTATCTAAGTAGTGAGACCCCTAGAGGCCATACACAGCATATAACATATTGCTACATCCTTTCTCTTTTAAATAAAAGAACAATGAAATATAACAAACACACAAATTGGTGAAGTAGAACATAGCTATAAGTTAGATATAATCCTTGAGGTGAGCCGGCTTTCTGATTGTTCTGCCAGCTCGCGTAACATATGAGGTTTCTTCACAAAAATCTTGGTGTTCTTCTGATTCTGGCAGTCTATTTTCTGGGACTGTCTCTCTCTGCTAGAGACCTCCCTATGCTCCTCAGCAGTCCCTGTTTCTTTGTTGCTGGTATTCATAGTCTCATCGCTTTGAGTGTCCATATACTGTTCCCAGGGCCATGTATCATCTCCTTCTTGTGTTTTTCTCAGATGTCTCCGATTTCTCCTCCATCTTCTTCCTTCCTCTGTTATAATTTCATAGGGCCGTGGTCCCAATTTCTGTACAACCTTCGCTTTTTTCCAGTGTTTGTCATATTTGCCTATTGGCTGAATCCGTTTCATTTCGCTGGAGAACAGGCAGATCTTTTGCAGATTTATTATAATAGAAAGCTTGCCTATCTTGATTCTTCATTAGTTTGGCTTTAACATTGCCCACAAGCTTTGGCTTTAGTAGTTGACCTGCAGTTGGTAGGAGAGTCCTTGTACGTCTACTCATAAGCCGCTGTGCTGGACTGGTGTCTAGGCCTTGTGTGGGTGTGTTTCTGTGGTCCAGTATAGACAGGTATATCTCTGTACCTGCCTGTTTTGCCTTTTGCATGAGTCTTTTGGCTGTTTTTACTGCTGACTCCGCTTTACCATTACTCTGTGGATATCCAGGAGATGATGTCTGGTGTTCAAATTCCCACCTCCCTGAATTTTTTGAATTCTTCCGATGTAATTGAGCAGCGTTGTCAGAGAACACAATATCCGGAATGCCATATCTGGCAAAATGGGCCTTGAGTTTTTTAATTACTGTTTTGGCCCTTGTGTCCTGTAAGTAGTCTATCTCCCAGAAGTTGGAAAAATAGTCCACAGTTACCAGATGTTCCTTGTCGTTCCACGTGAACAGATCTGTTCCTACTTTTGACCATGGTCTGTTTGGAATTGGATGTGGTTGCAATGTCTCTTTCGGTTGCTTATCATTGCACGATGCACATATTTCACACTGTGCTATAAAGTTTTTTATGTGGTCATTCATTCCAGGCCAATAAACATATTCTCGTGCACGACATAGACATCCTTCTACACCTAAGTGAGTCGAGTGCAATCTTTCTATAATGTCTCTTCTAAGGGATTTTGGTATGACAGCCCTTTCTCCTTTAAAGATGATTCCATGCTGCACAGAGAGTTCATCTCTTATGTGAAAAAATGGAGAAACCTCCATTGGAGCATGCTGCTTGTGTTTTGGCCATCCCTTCAAGATGACAGTCGTTAGGATCTGTAGAGTTTTATCTTCCGCTGTGCAGGTCTGTATTTGTTTCAGTCTGTCTTTTGAGAGACAGACAGATATTCACACATATTGATGCTTTCAATGTCTTTTTCTTCTTCATTTGTGATGGGTAAGTAAGCTCTGCTTAGGGCATCTGCAATCAGTAAATCCTTTCCTGGACAGTAACAAATGTTAAAATCATATTTCTGAAGCCTTAACAGCATACGCTGCAGTCTTTTTGGGGCATTCAGTGGTGGCTTCTTTGTAATACTTTCTAAAGGCTTGTGATCTGAATGCACCACCACTTGTGGACCGTAGGTGTACTGGTGAAATTTCTCTAACCCAAATACTACCGCTAGTAGTTCCTTCTCGATTTGAGCATATCCTTGCTCTGTTAGAGTTAACGCTCTGCTTGCATATGTGATTGGCTGTTTATCCTGCATTAGTGTGGCTCCAAGGCCGGTTTCTGAGGCATCACATTGTACTACCACTGCTTGATCTGGATCAAAATATTTTAGCGTTGCTGCATCTGCAATAGCATTTTTCACTGACTGAAAAGCAGTTTCATGGCTTTCTGTCCATTCCCAGAGTACGTCTTTGTGAGTTAGCTGTCTCAGTGGCTCACACATGTCTGATAAATGCTTGCAAAATTTGGAAAGATAATTCACCATGCCCAGGAATCGTTGTACTCCACGTATATCTGTAGGTGTCGGCATGTCCTGTATTGCCCTCACCTTCTCTGGATCGACTTTAACACCATTTGAGGTAAGAAGATGTCCAATATATGGTACTTCTGTCATTTTTAGTTTGAATTTTGCCAGGTTTAGTTTGATTTGTTTTTTTTTTCTGCATCTGTCTAAGAATTGTATCATCTTTTTATCGTGATCCTTTGTTGCGGATTCTAGATCATCACCTTCCCCAACTATTAGTATATCGTCTGCTATTATTTTTACTCCAGACAGTCCTTCCAAAGCTTGCATCAATTTTTGTTGGAACACTTCTGGAGCCGGGCTTACTCCCATTGGCATTCTCAGCCACTTATAGCGTCCAAATGGGGAAGAAAATGCTGTTAATAAACTTGATTCTTTATCCAGTTCCACGTGCCAGAACCCATTTTTCACATCACATACCGAAAATATTTTAGCCTTTGATAGATCTGGTAGAATATCTTCTATTATTGGCATTGGATAGTGATTTCTTTTCAGGGCCTTGTTCAGTGGCTTAGGATCAATGCATATTCTTAACTTGCCTGATGGTTTTTTTCACTATCACCAAACTGCTTTTCCAGTCTGTGCTTTCCTGTACTGGTGCTATCATACCTCTGCTGTGCAAATCCTGCAGTTCCTCTTTAAGCGGTTGCATTAAGGCTACAGGTACTCTTCTTGTAGGCAGTCTGGTAGGCTGTATTGTGTGATCAATTTCTAGTTTGTATTTACCTTCCAGGCACCCATCACCTTCAAATAAATCAGCATACTCTGTTTTTATGTGGTGAAAATCCAAAATGTATTCTGCCTTTTGTTTAGGATTTTGAGTATTCTCAGAAACTTCCAGAGCCATGATGTTATGGGACTGCACCTTTATTAAGTCCATAGCCTGAACTGCTTTAACTCCCAGCAAAGGAATGTGATGGTCCTCCTGTAACACAGTAAACTCCACTCTGTAGCTCTTTCTGTTACGTGGATTTCTTAAATTTAGCTTGCATGTTCCCATGGGTTTCAGAACACTTTTGTAGTACACGACCAGTACCTTATCAGTGGGCTCAATGGGAACCTGTTTGTTAAGCAGAGTAAATGGAATGACATTGCAGCTTGCTCCACAATCCAGCTGAAATCTTATGGGCTGTTCATCCACCATAAATATGGCAAAGAGCTGCTTTGCATCATTGGCTACTGGCTGTTTGACTACATTGACGTTCTCTGTTGCAGACTGCAGCTGCAGCCATGTGATGCCCTCTGTGCTGTCCTCGTCTGTGTCCTGGGTCACTGTGTGGACTTGTCTGTGTCCTGGGTCACTGTGTGGACTCGTCTGTGTCCTGGGTCACTGTGTGGACTCGTCTGTACTGTTTGCTGGTTTTGAATCTGCACACAGCTGAAAAGTGGTTCATCTTTCCACAAGTCCTGCAGGACTCCCCATACGCTGGACATTTCTCTTTGTCTCTTTCATGTCTTTTGCCACAGTATTTACACTGGACTGAGCTCACAGGGAGCCTGGACCTTGCTGTGCCTTTCACAGATACTGCATGTACTGAGGCATCACTGGTGCCCTCCATCATCTTCAGCCTGTCTTTAGTCAGCTCAGCAGCCCTGCAGATTTGTATACATTTCTCCAAAGCCAGCTCTTCCTCCCTCAGTAATCTTTCTCTGAGGTGAGAGTCTCTGATGCCACACACTATCCTGTCTCGGATAAGGGAGTCCCTGATGTCCCCAAATCCACAGGTTGCAGCCAGTCTCCTCAGCTCTGTCACATATCTGTCCACACTGTCCCCAATCTCCTGATTCCTTGAGAAGAACTTGTATTTCTCCACTGTCTTATTCTTTTTGGGGTCACAGTGCTTGTCAAATGCTTGCAGTATGTCTGTCAGTGCCATGCTGTCTGTGAGCCGGGTCTCGGCTAGTTCTCTGCCTTTTTCCCCAATCAAGTAATAAAACAGCTTTACTTCCCTCTGCTCATCTCTGGGTGCCACTGTCAGGTCCACATACAGAGTAAACTCTTCCTTCCAGTGTCTCCATGTCTGCGAGAGATTGGAAGAAGTGACATCCAGTCTCTGAGGGGGTTTCAGGCCACTCTCCATAGTGCAGTCTGATAGGGACTCTGTACTTACAGTTGCTGATTCTCTGTACAGTTCTAGTGTCACACAATCTGTATTTGTAGACAGAAGACTTGCTATTCAGAGGTCCAGTGCCCAGCTGCTACCATGTTCTGTTAGTCGATCCTGCTCAGATGCTCACACACTGTAGTTCGTAGCCGACATTTTATTAGGTGCTCATAGCTGCCATTATACATGTGTATATCCTAAGAACTACAACCAAAGAGAGGCAATAACACAGTTGTACCAGTATCTAAGTAGTGTGACCCCTAGAAGCCATACACAGCATATAACATTGCTACACATGTGATCAGCAAAGGGCTAATTAGCATTTTCAGACAGAGATCAAGGGTTCTGCATCCTCCTAGAGCAGAAAGAAAACTCCTCCTACAAGCGTTAACCAGTGCTCTGCTGGACACTGATAGAAATCAAAAGACGGCTATATACTGCTGATTTCCATGTTGTGTGTACTGTTGGAGACCAGATAAAGTGAATGCTGGGTCCTGGGAGATCAGATATAGTGAATGCAGGGTCCGGGGAGAGCGGATATAGTGAATGCAGGGTCCAGGAAGAGTGGATATAGTGAATGCAGGGTCCGGAGAGATCAGATATAGTGAATGCGGGGTCTGGGGAGAGCAGATATTGTGAAGGCAGGGCCCGGAGAGACCGGATATAGTGAATGCAAGGTCCGGGGAGACGAGATATAGTGAATGCAAGGTCCGTAGAGAGAGGACATAGTAAATGCAAGGTCCGGGGAGACCAGATATAGTGAATGCAGGGTCCAGGGAGACCAGATATAGTGAATGCAGGGTCCGGGGAAAGCGGATATAGTGAATGCAGGGTCCGAGGAGAGCAGATATAGTGAATGCAGGGTCCGGGGAGAGCGGATATAGTGAATGCAGGGTCCGGTGAGACCAGATATAGTGAATGCAGGTTCCGGGGAAAGCGGATATAGTGAATGCAGGGTTCGAGGAGAGCAGATATAGTGAATGCAGGGTCCGGGGAGAGAGCAGGTATAGTGAATGCAGGGTCCGGGGAGAGCAAATATAGTGAATACCGGTTCCGGGGAGAGCAGATATAGTGAATGCAGGGTACGGGAAGAGCGGATATAGTGAATGCAGGGTCCGGGGAGGGGGGGAGAGCGGATATAGTGAATGCGGGGTCCGGGGAGAGCGGATATAGTGAATGCGGGGTCCGAGGAGAGCAGATATAGTGAATGCAGGGTCCGGGGAGAGCAGGTATAGTGAATGCAGGGTCCGGGGGGAGAGCAAATATAGTGAATACCGGTTCCGGGGAGAGCAGATATAGTGAATGCAGGGTACGGGAAGAGCGGATATAGTGAATGCAGGGTCCGGGGAGAGCGGATATAGTGAATGCGGGGTCCGGGGAGAGCGGATATAGTGAATGCGGGGTCCGAGGAGAGCAGATATAGTGAATGCAGGGTCCGGGGAGAGCAGGTATAGTGAATGCAGGGTCCGGGGAGAGCAAAAATATAGTGAATACCGGTTCCGGGGAGAGCAGATATAGTGAATGCAGGGTCCGGGGAGAGCAGATATAGTGAATGCGGGGTCCGGGGAGAGCGGACATAGTGAATGCGGGGTCCGGGGGAGAGCGGATATAGTGAATGCGGGGTCCGGGGAGAGCGGATATAGTGAATGCGGGGTCCGGGGGAGAGCGGGATATAGTGAATGCGGGGTCCGGGGAGAGCGGATATAGTGAATGAGGGGTCCGGGGTTTAGTAACACTCTACATTTATTTTGGTATCTGTATAAATAGATGACATTAAAGAAGCTCATACATGGGAGAATCTGATCTTAATGCAATGAGTGATCAGAGCATCAAACAAATTCTTTTCATCTGGCGTGCTATTCAGATCCGGAAGATCTCCCCATTACTGAACATTTGTTACCTAGCGCCATGACGTCCTATGAGTACAGAGCTCTGATCAGCAGAGATAAATAGAATATCAGATACAATCCTCCCGTCCAATCACTAGCAATGCTGATTCCGGCCTCACACTGTCTGCTGATCCCATTCATGCTCCCTACACAAGGAGATGATAGCACAATACGAGTCATGTCAGTGGTATTCTGTGCTCATCCTGTGTATGGAGATATCACCGTCTCTACACATGGAGGACAATATTGGGGGGTCTACTCCATTATAACATTTGTCTTATAAAAATTCTATTTCCTGGAGATTTATAAAGTGATTGAATATAAATGATTCCAATAAAGAGAAATGAGTTCCATCCATGTAGAGAATAGTTCCATTCATTCCTGGGGGGGTGGGGGATTCATTTCCTTCTGCTAACATTCTTCTCTTCTTCTACAGATTGGTTGGTAATCACCTGACAGACAGTTCCTGCCCCCACCTGGCATCTGGAATAAGAAATAACCCGACACTGAAGACACTGAACCTGTCTGATAACAATCTGGAGGGTCCTCATTTCAGGGATCTGATGGCGGCTCTGACAACAAGCCGGATAGAGGAATTACAGTGAGTATAACAGGACTGACTGAGACAATCATATTCTGGGACAGATTAACATTCAATTGTCTAAATCTTCGGATCTTCTCTAACTCTGTTATCAGCAATAAATTAGACTTTTTCTACAGCTGGCCATATGTGGATCAAATATCGACAGGTTTAGTAGGGACCAGCCGAGATCTGACCCATCTATGGGCAGGCTGGTTGTACTGAAGTTGATCCGTCAATCACATTCAGTACAACCATCCTCTGGGACTTTTTGCATTCGATCACTGCTGGAGGTCTATAGCAGCTAACAGTGATCAGTGTTCTGCTGGCAGGGAAGGCTTCCTGTTGGCAGAACACAGTTGTGCGGCAGGAGTTATTCCCCCATCCATTCTGACTGTGTTGATGGGGAGGATTGAGCAATTGTCTTTCTTTCCACCCGTAGTGGAAGGAAAGAATATTGTATAGTCTGTAGCTTACTTAAAGCTCCCCACACACAGTACAGTCTGATCTTACAATCTTCTTTACCTCCATTGCCTAATTGGATACAAACTGACTGGATACATTGGGTAGGTCTGTAACGTACGTAAGATTTGAGTAGCTGAGATGTGACCTGTAGAAAATATGAAAATGTAGATTTAACATTCCATGTTATAATAATACTAAGATGTGATCAGAATTAATTCAGAGACATGTGGTCACCAATTAGCATAGGAAGGAGAGGAGCTTCCTCAGGCTGGAAGTGACATCTGGGTGCCAATGAGATTTGTCACTATATAATCAGACTTTGTCGCCTTCTAGAAATCTAAAATGAAGAACTCGAGACATTTCGGCTTCATGACACAGCAGGGACCAGATCAAAGGACTATGTTTCATCTCGCATAAAAGCTAAAATATTAGTTGCAGAGAGATGAAAATACTTCCTTCTCATTGGACACTCTGTAGGCTACATCTGCATGTAAAACTAAATTTGTGGTTTATGTGGGGTCCCAGAGAAAGGCAGAAAATGGTTATATTGCACCTGATCGAGACAGCTGAACAGTGATTGGTACTTTCGCTATCGGGCTGATGTGCTGGTGTCGTTCGGAAATTCAGCCCTTGACTTGGTGATTCAAACCGTTCCTGGTTCAATCGGCTCTGGGCATTCCAGTACCCAAAACGTCCTGTGGGCTGGTACAGGAACACCCCCCCAGAGTCAATTGGCCAAGGACTGATGTCCAGCACCCGTCATATTCCCATAAATTGAGGACTTGAGGTATGGACGTGGTGATTCGTACGGAGCCCATTCTTTCTGACTGGCGGATCATGGACTTTCTCTGACTTGCTCCAGTCGCAGGGTAAATCTCGGTAAAAGTTTTATTTCTGTTTTTTATTCCCTTTTATTTTATAGTGAATGGTCAATTGTGTGTCTTCTTGTTTTTTTTTGTATTTTCTGTAAAGCTTTTATACTTTTTACATATTTTATGCACTGCCCACTTTCGGTATCTAAATCTTAAAATTAATAAGTGACATCTAGGTACTTAAGCAGGCTATTATCTCTGGAGAGATTAGATTGTATTGTATTTTAGTGTCTTTAAATGCTCGGTCAAGCTCAGTGCCAACCTGTTTGCAATTGCACTGCGTGTTGGCAGATTGCGTGCAGACTGTAAAGGTAACAGATCTGCCAGATGGAGATCTGTGTGTGGGGTGTCTCAACAGGCCTTTCTGCGGATAAACTGTTGGGTGGTGGAAAACGACCGTTTGTGGTGTGTCTGGTGTGGGGGTGTGTGGACAGTTGAAGAGTGATTAACACCGGGGTTCTGGTTTGTAGGATAGCTGGAGGGATCCAAGAAGGGTGTGTGATTGCCAGGCTGCTCCTCAATCCTAATTAGTGCACCAGATTGTATGTAAGATTTGTATCTGCCAGTGTGTGGTCGGCCGGCTGGATTGGGGTGGAGTCTCCCTCCAATGCTGGCTGTGAACGCATATTACGGCTGGTCTTATATATGTATATATAGTCAAAGTTAAGTCCCCCTTATTCCCTCTTACCCCAAGCCACGGCGGCACGTGCGCACCTCTCGTGTTAGCTAGTTGCTGTGGGTGTGGCGTGCGAGGTGGATCGTGACAAGGTCCTCATATGATTTAAAGTTGTACAAACAGCATAATATCAGATGGTAACATGGTGACCCTATAGACTATAAAATGTAACCATTAAAGTGTTACTAAACCCACAACAGCACAATCAGTCTGTAGATGCAGTAAAGCATGCTTGTGATACTCACTCTGGAACATAAGGGGTTAATCCTCTGCAATGTGTAAAAAGGCCGATTGATCATTTCTGCTCTGTTACTCCCCTTTTGCAAGCGACCACCTCTTATTTTAAGATGAGGCAGACTGAACCGTAGGCATTTTGCACATGCTCAGTTTAGTGTGTATTGCTAGAGAGGTTTTTTTTTTTTTCCTTGGGAGAGTGCATGTGATCAGCACAGGGCTAATTAGCACTGTCCAGACAGAGATCAAGGGTTCTGCATCCTCCTACAGCAGAAAGAAAACTCCTCCTACAAGCTTTAACCAGTGCTGTGCTGGACAATGATAGAAGTCAAAAGAATGTTATATACTGCTGATGAGAAAAGGTATTTAGCAGTTTATATTTACTAAAATAATTGCATTTCCATGTTGATGGGTTCGGGGAAACCGGATATAGTGAAGGCAGGGTTTGGATAAAGTGGATATAGTGAATGTGGGGTCCAGGGAGAGTCAATATAATTAATGCAGGGTCCGGGAGAGAGCGGTTATAGTGAATGCGGGGTCCGGGGAGAGCAGATATAGTGAATGCAGGGTCCGGGGAGAGCGGATATAGTGAATGCAGGGTCCGGGGAGAGCGGTTATAGTGAATGCAGGGTCCGGGGAGAGCGGCTATAGTGAATTCAGGGTCCAGGGAGAGCGGATATAGTGAATGAGGGGTCCAAGGAGAGCAGATATAGTGAATGCAGGGTCCGGGGAGAGCAGTTATAGTGAATGCGGGGTCCGGGGGGAGAGCGGATATAGTGAAAGCAGGGTCTGGGGAGACCGGATATAGTGAATGCAGGGTCCGAGGAGAGCGGATATAGTGAATGAGGGGTCCAATGAGAGCAGATATAGTGAATGCAGAGTCCAGGAAGAGCGGTTATAGTGAATGCGGGGTCCGGGGAGAGCGGATATAGTGAATGAGGGGTCCAAGGAGAGCGGATATAGTGAATGCAGGGTCCGGGGGAGGAGAGCGGATATAGTGAATGCGGGGTCCAGGGAGAGCGGATATACTGAATGCGGGGTCCAGGGAGAGGTGAAATAGTGAATGCATGTTCCGGGGAGACCAGATATAGTAAATGCAGGGTCTGGGAGAGAGCACATATAGTGAATGCAGGGTCCCGGGAAGAGCAGATATAGTAAATGCGGGGTCCAGGGACACCGGATATAGTGAATGCAGGGTCCGGGGAGACTGGATATAGTGAATGCGGGGTCCGGTGAAACCGGATAAAGTGAATGCAGTGTCCGGGTAAAGAAGATATAGTGAATGCAGGCCCCGTGGAGACCAGATATGATGAATGCAAGGTCCGGGGAAAGCGGATACAGTGAATGCAGGGTCCAGGGAGACCGAATATAGTGAGTGCAAGGTCCAGTGAGAGCGGAAATGGTGAATGCAAGGTGCGGGGAGAGCAAATATAGTGAATGTAAGATCCGGGGAGAGCAGATATAGTGAATGCGGGGTCCGAGGAGAGCGGATATAGTGAATGCAGGGTACGGGAGAGTGGATATAGTGAATGCAGGGTACGGGTAGAGTGGATATAGTGAATGCAGGGTCCAGGGAGAGTCGATATAGTGAATGCAGGGTCCGGGGAGTCCATATATAGTGAATGCAGTGTCCGGGTGGAGCGGATATAGTAAATGTAGTGTCAGGGGAGACCGAATATATTGAATGCCAGATCCGGGGAGACCGTACAAAGTGAATGCAATGTCTGGGTAGAGCGAATACAGTGAATGCAGGGTCCGGGGAGAGCAGATATAGTGAATGCAATGTCTGGGTACAGCAAATATAGTGAATGCCGGATCCAGGGAGACCGGAGAAAAAAGTGAATGCAATGTCTGGGTAGAGCGAATATAGTGAATACAGGGTCCGGGGAGAGCGGACATAGTGAATTGCGTTGTACGGGGAGAGCGGATATAGTGAATACAGGGTCTTTGGAGAGCGGATATAGTGAAAACAGGGTCTGGAGAGAGCAGATATAGTGAATGCAGGGTCCGGGGAGAGCGGATATAATGGATGCGGTGTCCTTTGAGAGTGGATATAGTGATTGCGGGGTCCGGGGAGAGCGGATATAGTGAATGTGTGGGTCCGGGGAGAGCGGATATAATAAATGCAGGGTCCGGGGGAGAGCGGATATAGTGAATGCAGGGTCAGGGGAGAGCAGATATAGTGAATGCAGGGTCCAGGGAGAGAGGATATAGTGAATGCGGGGTCTGGGGACAGCGGATATAGTGAATGCAGGGTGCGGGGGAGAGCGGATATAGTGAATGCGGAGTCTGGGGAGAGCATATAGTGAATGCTTGGGTCAGGGGAGAACTGATATAGTGAATGGAGGGGTCCAGGGAGAGGATGATATAGTGAATGCAGGGTCCGGGGAGAGCGGATATAGTGGATGCGGTGTCCTTTGAGAGCGGATATAGTGATTGCGGGGTCCGGGGAGAGCGGATATAGTGAATGTAGGACCGGGTAGAGCGGATATAGTGAATGCAGGGTCCAGGGAGAGAGGATATAGTGAATGCAGGGTGCCGGGGGGAGAGCGGATATAGTGAATGTATGGTACGGGGAGACCATATTATAGTGAATGAGGGGTCTGGGGAGAGCGGTTATAGTGAATGCAGGATCCGGGGAGACCGAATATAGTGTATGCAAGGTCCAGGGGGAGAGCGGATATAGCTAATGCAAGATCCGGGAAGAGCGGATATAGTGAATGCGGGGTCCAGGAAGAACGGATATAGTGAATGCGGGGTCCGGGGAGAGCGTATATAGTGAATGCTGGGTCCAAGGAGAGCGGATATAGTGAATACATAGTCTAGGGAGAGCAGATATAGTGAATGCAAGTTCTGGGGAGACCAGATATAGTAAATGCAGGATCTGGGGAGAGCGAATATAGTGAATGCGTGGGCGGGGAGAGCGGATATAGTGAATGAGGGGTCCAAGGAGCGGATAGTAAATGCATGCAGGGTCTGGGGAGACCGAATATAGTGAATGCAGGGTCCGGGGAGAGACCAGATATAGTGAATGCAGTGTCTGGGGAGATCGCATTTAGTGAATGCTGGGTCACGGGAGACCGAATATTGTGAATGCAGGGTCCAGGGAGAGCAGATTAGTGAATGCAGGGTCCAGGGAGAGCGGATATAGTGAATGCCAGGGACCGGGAGAGAGCGAATATAGTGAATGCAAGGGGTCCAAGAAGAGTGGATATAGCGAATGTGGGGTCCGAGGGAGAGTGGATATAGTGAATGCAGGGTCCAGGGAGAGCGGATATTGTGAATGAGGGGTCCAAGGAGAGCGGATATAGTGAATGTAGGGTCTGGGGAGACCGAATATAGTGAATGCAGGGTCCGGGGAGACCAGATATAGTGAATGCAGTGTCTGGGGAGATCGCATTTAGTGAATGCTGGGTCACAGGAGACCGAATATTGTGAATGCAGGGTCCAGGGAGAGCAGATATAGTGAATGCAGGGTCCAGGGAGAGCGGATATAGTGAATCCAGGGTCCAGGGGAGACCGAATATAGTGAATGCAAGGTCCAGGAAGAGTGGATATAGTGAATGTGGGGTCCGGGAGAGTGGATATAGTGAATGCAGGGTCCAGGGAGAGCGGATATAGTGAATGCAGGGTCCGGGAGAGCGGATATAGTGAATGCAGGGTCTGGGGAGATTGCATATAGTGAATGCTGGGTCAGGGGGAGACCGAATATAGTGAATGCAGGGTCGGGGAGACCGGATATAGTGAATACTTGGTCCGGGGAAACTGGATATAGGGAATGTGGGGTCCGGGGAGACCGGATATAGTGAATACTTGGTCCGGGGAAACTGGATTTAGTGAATGCTGGGTCTGGGGAGACCGGATAATGTGAATGCAAAGTCCGGGAAGACCAGATATGGTGAAGGCAAGGTCCGGGGAGAGCCGATATAGTGAATGCAGGGGTCCGGGGAGAGCGGATATAAGTGAATGCAGGGTCCGGGGAGAGCGGATATAGTGAATGCAGGGTCCGGGGAGAGCGGATATAGTGAATGCAGGGTCCGGGGAGAGCGGATATAGTGAATGCAGGGTCCAGGGAGAGAGGATATAGTGAATGCTGGGTCCAGGGAGAGCGGATATAGTGAAACGCAGGGTCTGGGGAGAGCGGATATAGTGAATGCAGGCTCTGGGGAGAGCGGATATAGTGAACGCAGGCTCCGGGGAGAGCGGACTTAGTGAATGCGGAGTCCGGGGAGAGCGGACTTAGTGAATGCGGGGTCCGGGGAGAGCGGACTTAGTGAATGCGGAGTCCGGGAGAGCGGATATAGTGAATGCGGAGTCCGGGGAGAGCGGATATAGTGAATGCAGGGTCCAGGGTTTAGTAACACTACATTTAGTTTGGTATCTGTATAAATAGATGACATTAAAGATGCTCATACATGGGAGAATCTGATCTTAATGCAATGAGTGATCAGAGCATCAAACAAATTCCTTTCATCTGGCGTGCTATTCAGTTCCGGAAGATCTCCCCATTACTGAACATTTGTTACCTAGCGCCATGACGTCCTATGAGTACAGAGCTCTGATCAGCAGAGATAAATAGAATATCAGATACAATCCTCCCGTCCAATCACTAGCAATGCTGATTCCGGCCTCACACTGTCTGCTGATCCCATTCATGCTCCATACACAAGGAGATGATAGCACAATACGAGTCATGTCAGTGGTATTCTGTGCTCATCCTGTGTATGGAGATATCACCGTCTCTACACATGGAGGACAATATTGGGGGGTCTACTCCATTATAACATTTGTCTTATAAAATTCTATTTCCTGGAGATTTATAAAGTGATCGAATATAAATGATTCCAATAAAGAGAAATGAGTTCCATCCATGTAGAGAATAGTTCCATTCATTCCTGGGGGGGGGGGGGGGATTCATTTCCTTCTGGTAACATTCTTCTCTTCTTCTACAGATTGTCCTCCAATCACCTGACAGACAGTTCCTGCCCCCACCTGGCATCTGGAATAAGAAATAACCCGACACTGAGGACACTGAACCTGTCTAGGAACAATCTGGAGGGTCCTCATTTCAGGGATCTGATGGCGGCTCTGACAACAAGCCGGATAGAGGAATTACAGTGAGTATAACAGGACTGACTGAGACAATCATATTCTGGGACAGATTAACATTCAATTGTCTAAATCTTCGGATCTTCTCTAACTCTGTTATCAGCAATAAATTAGACTTTTTCTACATCTGGCCATAAGTGGATCAAATATGGACAGGTTTAGTAAGGACCAGCCGAGATCTGACCCATCTATGGGCAGGCTGGTTGTACTGAAGTTGATCCGTCAATCACATTCAGTACAACCATCCTCTGGGACTTTTTGCATTCGATCACTGCTGGAGGTCTATAGCAGCTAACAGTGATCAGTGTTCTGCTGGCAGGGAAGGCTTCCTGTTGGCAGAACACAGTTGTGCGGCAGGAGTGATTCCCCCATCCATTCTGACTGTGTTGATGGGGGGATTGAGCAATTGTCTTTCTTTCCACCCGTAGTGGAAGGAAAGAATATTGTATAGTCTGTAGCTTACTTAAAGCTCCCCACACACAGTACAGTCTGATCTTACAATCTTCTTTACCTCCATTGCCTAATTGGATACAAACTGACTGGATACATTGGGTAGGTCCTCATATGATATAAAGTTGTACAAACAGCATAATATCAGATGGTAACATGGTGACCCTATAGACTATAAAATGTAACCATTAAAGTGTTACTAAACCCACAACAGTACAATCAGTCTGTAGATGCAGTAAAGCATGCTTGTGATACTCACTGTGGAACCTAAGGGGTTAATCCTCTGCATTGTGTAAAAAGGCCCGATTGATCCTTTCCTGCTCTGTTCCTCCCCTTTTTCAAGCAACCACCTCTTATCTTCTGATAAGACAGACTGAACCGTAGGCATTTTGCACATGCTCAGTTTAGTGTGTATTGCTAGAGATGTTTTTTTTTCCTTGGGAGGGTACATGTGATCAACGCAGCGCCAATCAGCGCTGTCCAGACAGAGATCAGGGGTTCTGCATCCTCCTAGAGCAGAAAGAAAACTCCTCCTACAAGCTTTATCCAGTGCTCGGCCGGACACTGATAAAAGTAAAAAGACTGCTATATACTGCTGATGAGAAAAGGTATTTAGCAGTTTATTATTTACTAAAAAAAATTGCATTTCCATGTTGTGTGTACTGTGGGAGACCAGATATAGTGAATGCAGGGTCCGGGAGACCGGGGTCCATGGATATAGTGAATGCAGGGTCCGGGGAGAGGGGAATTCAGGGTCAGAAGATATATGAATGCAGAATGCAGGGGTCCAGGGAAGAGCGGATATGCAGGGGGATATGGGGTCAGTGAATGTGTGAATGCAGGGTCCGAGGAGACCATATTTTGTGATTGCAGCGTCCAGGGGAAGAGAGCGGATATAGTGAATGCGGCCCGGACATGGACATGTAAAAACAGGGGCCAATGAGACCAAATTTAGGTCCGGGGAGAGAGGGGATATAGTGAATATAGTGAATGCAGGGTCCGGGGTCCGGGGAGGCGGATATAGTGAATGCGGGGTTTATAGTGAATGCGGGGTCCGGGGACTCTACATTTAGTTTGGTATCTGTATAAATAGATGACATTAAAGATGCTCATACATGGGAGAATCTGATCTTAATGCAATGAGTGATCAGAGCATCAAACAAATTCTCTTCATCTGGCGTGCTATTCAGTTCCGGAAGATCTCCCCATTACTGAACATTTGTTACCTAGCGCCATGACGTCCTATGAGTACAGAGCTCTGATCAGCAGAGATAAATAGAATATCAGATACAATCCTCCCGTCCAATCACTAGCAATGCTGATTCCGGCCTCACACTGTCTGCTGATCCCATTCATGCTCCATACACAAGGAGATGATAGCACAATACGAGTCATGTCAGTGGTATTCTGTGCTCATCCTGTGTATGGAGATATCACCGTCTCTACACATGGAGGACAATATTGGGGGGTCTACTCCATTATAACATTTGTCTTATAAAATTCTATTTCCTGGAGATTTATAAAGTGATGGAATATAAATGATTCCAATAAAGAGAAATGAGTTCCATCCATGTAGAGAATAGTTCCATTCATTCCTGGGGGGGGGGGGGGGGGGGGGATTCATTTCCTTCTGGTAACATTCTTCTCTTCTTCTACAGATTGTCCTATAATCACCTGACAGACAGTTCCTGCCCCCACCTGGCATCTGGAATAAGAAATAACCCGACACTGAGGACACTGGACCTGTCTGGGAACAATCTGGAGGGTCCTCATTTCAGGGATCTGATGGCGGCTCTGACAACAAGCCGGATAGAGGAATTACAGTGAGTATAACAGGACTGACTGAGACAATCATATTCTGGGAGAGTTTCCATTGAAATCTTCCTGAGACCTCTATGCCTGGCCTGAACAGAGCAGAGACAATCACTGCAGACATTTTTCCATCAGATAATTGAACTCACCAAACACTTGGCAATCATGAATATTTTTCTTGTATGCAGGACGTTCCGGCAAACTATACAATGTGGAAGAATTCGGTATATATAGTGATATAGAGTAAAATTTCTGCCTCATTTCAGTGTCAGTCTTGCAGAAAGGATAGCAGGAAATTACAATGAAAGAGAAAAAAAATGACATCATACAGATACAGGGGAGGATACAGAAAAAATTAGTGCATTAAAAACAGTGACCATAGACAATATATGAACAAAACTGAGCTGCATGGTCGAGTTGCCAAAAAAGAAGTCTTTACTGCGCCAATGCCACAAAAAAGCCTGGTTACAATACGCCTGACAACACCTTGACACGCCTCACCGGGCTTTATTGTAGCATTGGTGCAGTAAAGGCTTCTTTCTGGCAACTTGACCACGCAGCTCTTTTTGTACTCAGGCATATACTGTTCTTATGGAAACCGCCAAAACCAGATATGGCCATCAGATTGGCAGGCAGAGAAGCGTGATTGGTCACTCACTCCAGAGAACACGTCTCCACTGCTCTAGAGTCCAGTGGCAGCGTGCTTTACACCACGGCATCCAACGCTTTACATTGCACTTGGTGATGTAAGGCTTGGATGCAGCTGCTCGGCCATGGAAACCCCATTCCATGAAGCTCTCTACGCACTGATGTTGGGCTCATCTGAAGGCCACACCAAGTTTGGAGGTCTTTAGCTATTGACTCTGCAGACAGTTGGTGACTTCTGCGCACTGTGCGCTTCAGCATGCGCTGACCCCCCTCTGTCATGTGACGTGGCCTACCACTTGGTGGCTGAGTGGCTGTTGTTCCCAGTTGCTTCCACTTTGTTATAATCCCACTAACAGTTGAGCGTGGAATATTTAGTAGCCAGGAAATGTCCCGGATGGACTTATTGCCAGGTGGCCACCTATCACGGGACCAAGCTTGGAGTCACTGAGCTCCTGAGAGCGACCCATTCTTTCACCAATGTTTGTAGAAGCCGTCTGCATGCCTAGGGGCTTTGATTGTATACACCTGTGTCCATGGAGGGGATTGGAACACCTGAATCACATGATTGGGAGGGCGGAGACAATACTTTTGGCAGTATAGTGTATATGATGTTGGAGATGTTGGAGGAAGCACGGCAAATAAAAAAAAAATTTGCCAATGTCATTAAAATGAACCCTGGAGGAGGCATTGAGACGCGTCTATTACAAAAACTCGTATCACTTTAAAGTGTTTTTTTAAATGTTTAACGACTAATAGCGTCACATACGGCCAACACATGGGGGGGGGGGGGGGGGGGGGGGGTAAGGCCTCCTCCGGTTTCAGGGCTTTATTCACAGGATTAGAATTGGAATTAAAATAAGGTGATTGGTTTTTATAACTTTATATATAATTAGAATTGAACACGACCTTAAGTAGGCAATAAATAGGACACACACATGATATAAGTTGATGAATGATAAATATATATGGGACCTGTATGGATCATATGTTTTTAAAGTGACAATAAAGGCAATTTGTAAAAAGAAAACAAAAACATGTGATACTTACCTGCTGTGTGCAGTCATTTTGCTCCTCTTCTCTGGTGTCCCGCAGCTCGCTATGGGGGCACCTGAGCAGGCTCACTCCTAAGCCGCTGCTCTGCGCATATATTCATACACAAAGCCGCAGTCCAACTCCTCCCCCTCTCTCTCCTCTTTTTGGGTCACTGGTTGTGATTGACAGCAGTGGGAGCCAATTGTTCTTGCTGTTGTCATAGCCAATGAGGAGGGAGAGTCTCCGGAAAGCCGAGGCTCCTGTGCACATTGCTAGCAGCTTACCAGTTCTAAAATGTGTTGGAGGCATTTATTTCCTTATTTCAGGCCTTTCCTTCATCTTCTCCTGTTGATCCTGCCAGTAAAGCTGTGTACACACAGGAAGGTTTTTTTTTTCTCTTTCACTCAACCAGTGGGATAGAAAAAAAAAAAACAGATCCCTGTATCAACACTATGATGTAGGGATCTCTCCCGCTGTGACATTGTATTCTGACAGGGAGCTCCCCTCCAGTCAGAATACACTGATTAGGGCTTGCACCCATTGGCTTTCCAGCATGCTGTTCAACAGACCGGCTGAACCAGCTGATTTTTCTGCCCATGTGTATCAGGCTTAAAGTGGTTGTAAAGGATAAAGGTTTTTTACCTTCATACAGTACATTTTATGCATGAAGGTAAAATCATTTTGTGTGCTGCTCCCCCCACAGCCCCCCTAATACTCACCTGAGCCCCCTTTTGATCCATGATGTGCATGAGAGCCTTGGCTGTCCCAGGACTTCCTCTTCTCATTGGCTGAAACAGCAGAGGGAGCCACTGTCCATCACAGCCAGTGAGCCAATGAGAAGAGGGCAAGGCCAAGCCGCGGCTGTCTGTCTGTCTTATGGACATAGAGAACAGGTCTACTGAGCGAGCATGCACCAAGTGGCTTGCTATTGGGGGCACTGGTCAAGGGGGACCCCAGAAGAGGAGGAATGGATTGCACACAGCAGTATAACATCTTTTTTGGGGGTTCTCTTTTTTAATTTGAAACTTTAATACCACTTTAACACACTTCATTAAGGGGGGGGGGGGGGGTTTATGTGGAGAGATCATTTACAGACACTTTCTTGGAAGGAAATTACTATTGTTTGTTTGCTTATAAGAAGAGTAGAAAGACAAAGCATTTCTGGAAGGATCAAGGTACATAAATAAATGAAATTCAGCTAATGCAGCCACCACATTTGGGCTTCATTCAAATCTGAGCGTAGCAGTTTTCAGAGTTTTTACCGCAATTTTTGTGCGTTTATTATTATTAGTAATAATATTTAATAAAAAATAAACACATAAACCCAAACAAATATACATTATTAATGATAATAATAATGATGATAAATAAATGTAAAATAAATACACAATAAACACCTGAAAAATGTATTATTATTAATAATAATTAATTTCATATTTTTTTTAAGGTTAAGGGTTAATTGTTATTTAGTTTTTTTATTTTTCATGGATTTTTTTGTTTATATATGTACTTATTTTATTTTTTTACATTTATTTATTGATATATTTTTACTTTTTTTTGTTTCCATTTTTTCTATTTGAGCAGGTAATCGTACAAAAACGTGCGAAATCACGCAAAAACACACCAATCGCACATTTCTATGGGAATAAAAATGCGCCAAAGACCTGCACATCTTCCCAATCTGAGTTACAAAAGTAGCTCCAAAACTTTTTTGAGCTTCAGCCGTTCTGCTTCAGCTGACTTGGAGTGGAGATGTGAACCATCTCCATAGAGGAATATTGATTTTCTTTTCCCCCCTGAGCGTTTTTTGAGCTTCGAACTTCACGCTGAAAAACGCTCAAGTGTGAATGGGGCCTTAAAGACTGGTAAGCTGCAATATGTCACAGTTTTGCTCTTGGATATAGATATAATTTAACTCCTTCCCTGCTGCAGGGACCCCAAAACAATCTGCAAAAGCTGACGACCTGTAGAATATAAATATGGTAGTTACACATTTTTGTTACATTATATTACGGTAACTGTTTTTCAAAGCTATATTTTCAGTAAAAAAAAAAAAATAAATAATAATACATTCAAATTACTTTTACTGCATCCTAACAAAAAGTGTGCCCATCAGAGTGCCATTTACCATGAAATGTGCCCATCGACGTGCCTCTGAGAATCTTTATTGAAGCAGAAACACACCCTACCTTGAGGGCAGACAGGGAGCGGGAGCCGGAAGAGGTAGCGAGCTGCAGGGGGCGGAGAATCTTGGTGAGGGCGGAGAGGCGCCTGCATGACGTCACATCGTATCCTGCGGGCAAAAAAGGAGCAGGAGAGATGCCGAGCCACAGGGGGCACACATGACGTCATTGGCTGCTGGGATGTCTATGGTCCCAGCAACCAATGACTGCTGAGCGGGGGGATATGACACTTTAGTCTGGTGGGCTGATGGTTCAGACAGGTGCATCGCTTGGTCGGTGTCCGACCGCGGTCCGTCATTTAATGATGTCTGCTTTCTATCCTCTCTTCTAGGATCGTGAACAATTCCTTGTCACGTGAAACTAAAAGGAAACTGAAAAAATCTGAAATCCCTCCGACCAGAACTGAAGGTTTCTACAGGATGAATCCAGAGGAAGAACCTCTGCTACAGCTGTGAATGGGACATTGCTCGGGATGACGAGGAGAATAAGATTTCGATACGAATAACCCGACCCAAGAGGGGAATGAAACATCAAAGAGGAACTAATCCACCCAGGACAGGATGGGGGGAGGACTTTGTAACTGTTTTGTTCCCAATACTTCTGAACATGAAGGGGTGACACTCCAGTCAGCCATGAACATTTTCCCCATAAAGTGACTTGGGAGACACGGCTGTCTCTAATGATCATCCTTGCATTCGTCTTACACAGCTCATCCAGAGATAATACAGGCGGAGTGATGAAGAGATGGCACCAGTGGTGTATTTAGGTTTTAGGCTGCCCTAGGCAACACAAAAATTGGCGCCAATTGTGTGCCAATGACAATTTTCCAAACTTTATTCATACAAAAGCCTTATTTTACAATGTAATATTTATTACTGCGTTTTCATAATTCTGTTTGTGGGTTGGATGCTAGACTGTCCAATAAGAGAGAGCCCAGCACTAGTTCTGTCATTGACTGCTATAGCAGATTGAAGGTCTGCAGCGTCTTGAAAAAGTATTCTTACATTCACACCCCCTTGAAATGTTCCACATTCTGTCCTGTTACAACCAAAGTCGTCAATGTATTTTATTGGGATTGGATGTGATAGACCGACACAAAGCGGCACATCATTGTGAAGTGGAAGGAAAGTGATAAATGGTTTTCAAAATTTTTTTCAAATAAATCTGTGAAAAGTGTGGCGGCATTTGTATTCGGAGTCAATACTTTGTAGGACTCCCTTTGGCTGCAATTCCAGCTGCAAGTCTTTTTGGGGATGTCTCTTTGCACACCTAGAAGAGGGACATTTACTGCCCATTCTTCTTTGCAGAATCGCTCAAGCTCTGTCAGGTTGTTGGATGGACAGCGTCTGTGGCAAGACTTGAAAATTGTTGTTACCCATGATTCTCCATTGGATTTTTGGTCTGAGACTGTGACTGGGCCATTTTACACCACATGAAAGATGCTTTGATCTAAACTATTCCATTGTAGCTCTGGCTGGATGTTTCATTTCTGCCGGTTGTTGCACCTGCATGGAAGGCATTAGAACCACTGAACTTCCGCCCTGGTCTCTCAAGTTACTTTTGCAGAACTCATTCTAAATATTGCCCAGTATTTGGCTCTATCCACCTCGCCATGAACTCTGACCAACTTCCCTGTCCCTGCTGAAGAAAAGCATCCCACCACCAGCATGATGCTGCTGCCACCCACCATGTAATTCACACGGTGGGGGATGTAAGGTGTGTTCAGGGATCCGATGGGCAAGTGATTAGTTCCCCCGTTTTGCTCTTTAGGCCAAAAAGGTCCCATTTTGGTCTCCTTCTGGGTGACCAAGAGCCCCATTCTTCCACATATTTGTTGTTTTGTTCCCCCACATGGTTCTCAGTACGACAAACATTCAAACGGACTTCTTATGGCTTTCTTCCAACAAATAGGCTTTCTTTTGTATTGACACTCTTCCATAAAGGCCAGATTTGTGGAGTGCACGACTAATAGTTGTCCTGTGGACAGATTCTCACTCACCTCTGAGCTGTGGATATCTGCATCTCCTTCAGAGTTCCCATGGGGCCTCTTGTGACTTGCTTCTCTGGTGAATGCCCTCCTTGCCCGGTCCGTGTCAGTTTAGGTGGATGGCCATGTCTTGGTAGGTTTGCAGTTGTTGTCGTACTCTTTCCATTTTCGGATGATGGATTGAAAGACAGTGCTCCGTGAGATGGTCAAAGCTTGGGATATCTTTTTATAACCTAATCTTGCTTTTGAAAACTTATCCACAACTTTATTCCTAACCTGTCTGGTGTGTTCCTTGTCCTTCATGATGCTGTTCACTAATGTTTGCTCTAACAAACCTCTGAGGGCTTCACAGAACAGCTATAGTTTATACTGAGATCACATGACACACACAGGGGACTCGGTCTCTTGAATTTGTGGTGACTTCTGAAATGGTAATTGGTTCCACTAGATTTTAGTTAGGGGAATCATGAATAAAAGGGGGATGACTACAAATGCACTGACGCCACACTTTTCAGATATTTGTAAAACATTTTGTAAATCATTATTCACTTTCCTGCCACTTCACAAATTATATGCTAAACTTTTGTGTCGGTCTATCACAGAAAATCCCAATAAAATACATTGACAGTTTTGGTTGTAACACCTGACAACATGTGGAACATTTCTCAAGGTGTTATGAATACTTTTTCAAGGCACTGTATATATTCACAGCACTGTAGGTAAACAAGACATTTGCCATTTTGATTAGTCTGCCAGAGAGGGAAAAAATGAGAAACATTTCTAATCAAATATTTAGATGTAATAGTTCAGGTTTACTTGTCATAGAGAAGCAGAAACATCTTCAGATCGATTTGTTATCTTCATTTGAATATAATACATAAATAAAGCAAATATTTGTACAAGCGCCTTACTATTTCTATCATATCATATCTGATTTAAAGTATTCCGATGAAGGAGGAAAGCTGGATTTAGGGCCGGTTCACAGCAGTGCAGCAAATGCAAATTTCTGTGTGTGTATTTCCACACCGCAGAGGACATTACGCTGCCTTTGCTGACCACATGCAGATGCCAATAAATGTTAATGCATTCTAGAAAATGTGTACCATTTTGCATGCCACCAAATCACATAGTACTGCAGTATCATAAAATTTGGTGCATGCACATTTTTTTACAGGTGTAGCTCCGCTGCCGTTGGATCAGGGCTGAGAGGACGGAGGCGAGAGCAGACTAGATTGGATGGGAGGTGAGTTGCAGCAGGATGGGCGGGATGATGTAGAGGGGTGCGGGTGATCGCGTGATGGATGTTTATGTGTATTCTCTGGGTGTATGATGGAGGTGAGTGCGTCGCTCGGTGTGAGTCTGCACTTCACGGTGACACACAGTTATATACTTTTGTGCTCGATCGAGACGAGTGCAAGTAACTCATGTTAAATGCAGACTTCAAGATGCGATGATTAGTAGATAGTCTTCATTTACTCCCCCTGGCACTACGCTCTTCCTTTGGAGGAAGATCTAGAAAGCGCAGTGGGGCGGAGGTAAAAGAGTGGCCTGGTCTGTAATAGGTCTTAGAGGATCCATGGCCAATTCCACGACAGGAGGCATGGCAAGGGGTCAGGGGCGTCCTTAAGAGTAAACTGATCCTGCCTCAGCAGTGGGGGAAGTTATGAGTGGATGATGGAGATGTGAGGATGTTGAGAGGAGGAGCCTGGGAGGGGGTTCCAGATGGGGAAGGGCTCACCTACAGGCATGGGAGCTTTGGAGGAAGCAAAGCTTGGTCTTCACCAGCGCACCAGAAAGAGGACCACCTATGCAACGGGGAAAGGGAGCGGACCAACTTGAAGGACCTAAGGTTAGAGCCACTAACCCACCAGCCGGCCACAGGAAGAAGGGACTGAGGGAGTAAACTTGAACCCTTGGGCAGGGAGGGGAAAGAGGCACTCTGTGGGAAAACTAGATTAGCTTTCACCTGGGACGTTCTCAATGCAGTGAGCCATCGCAGGCACTGTAACCGGCCCAGGGATTCACCCAGTACAGCTGGTTGAGGTAGAGGATTCATCTGGGGTCTGGGGTCGGGTACCAACAGGAAATGCTGGCGACCATGGGACATGCTGGCTAGCACTGCACAGATGAAAATGTTGCTGTAAAGGTTGTCAATAAATTAAAAATAAATAAGTGATGCAGCGCCGACTATAATAATAGCTACAAAAAAAAATAAAAGAGTGACTAACTGAATAAAACATACATACTTAATGAGTTCCATAGATGTTAAAATATCAATCATTTGTAATAAGATTCTTCGATATATCATGTGTGTTTCTTCTTGTGCTGGATATCCCAAACATCCATGCCAGTCAGCATAGGTGCCCATTTAGACATACTGTGCCACCTCAGTGCTGCACAGAACTCTCAACCTCAGAAGGCACATTGCCTGAAATGCGTCTTGTATGACATCCAATTTAGGAAAAAACGGATTCTTCACTTTTTCAATCCAGCAGCATTAGTGATTTAGAAATCAGAAATACTCCTTCAGCTTTCATAGATTGTAGAACCTCATGAGCCAAGGATTCGGTCCACTTTTAGGGCGTTGAGATGGTTCACACATTACCATATCCTTAAAACGGAAACAAAGGCGGCGCTCCCATGGTGCAGGATGTACGAATATAAATAATGTATTAAGATGCCTGCTTAATACGCACTCACATGTTGGAATTGACATGAAATGCCATCCAAATTCATCATCAACCTCTCCCCCCCCTCCCCCATTACACCCCCCCCCCTCCCCCTGGAACCCTCCACCCATCCTCCCCCTCCCACCCCCCCCCCCCCCCCCCTCCCCCGGCTCCCAAAACCCCACCACACTAACCCCCTTAAACTCCCCGCCTTTGCCCGCCCTTCCATCACTCTTCTTTCTGCCCTCGGGAGCCCCCCCCCCCCCCCCTCACCCCGTCCGCTTCCCTGATTAAACTGTGCCCCCCCACTTTCCTATCCCCCCCTTACCCTCCCTCCCCGCCCCACCGTAGTCTCCCCTCCCCTTCATCCTCACCCTCCTCCCTCCCACCATTCCTCCCCCCTACTCTTCATCCCCCCAACCTTCGTTCTTCATCCCTTCCTCATCCCCCACTCCACCCTCCCCCTCCCCCCCCCCCCCTTCGGCGCCCCGCCCCCACCCAGTCTCCCCCTCCCCCCCACTACCCCCCCCCTCTTCCTTCCCCCCCCAATCCCTCCCCCCCCTCCACCCCTGACCCACCCTCCCCCCTTCCCCCTGCCCCCCTCCCCCCCCCCCCCGTCCCCCCCCCTCGTCCCCCTTCCCCCCCCGCACTCCTGCCACCCCGCCCCCCCCTCCCCCCCCTCCCCCCCTCCCCCCCGCTACCCCCCCCCCCCACCCCCCCCCTCACCCCCCCCCTCCCTCCCCCCCCCCCCCCCCCCCCCCCT